TGCTAAGATGTTAAAGCGGGCACTACCACTGTTAAAATACAGATAATATTTGAGTGTTTTTGAATGGAGAACAATCATATTTCACTATCGCACAACAGTTGTGCGATTGTCAATTGTTTCCCAGCCAACAACTGTTTATTTCAACTAAAAATCGAGTAGTGTTCGCACCTTCATATAATTTCATAGGAATAGCGCTCTAAAGAAGCGTGAATTTAAAAAATTTCGTCCGTCTACGTTTATTCCGAGTGATGTAATGGATTTTGACGGGACTTTTAATGGAAGGAGATGTCTGAAAACATGGTTTTTTTATTCCACCCTGACGTAACAGCTAGTTAAGGCGACATCGACCTCCTTTAGCAACTAAATATTATCTGAGCCCTAGAGTCCGTCCGCATAAAAAAATAAAATGTAAGTAGCCTATGTGTTCTTCTAGACTATGCTGTGGAACTTTGAGAAATTTCATCAAGATCTGTTCAGCAGTTTAGGCTACAAACTCTAGCAAACATCTACCCATCTAAACTTTCGCATTTATAATATTAGTAAGACGTATGATTCGTTAAATAGTAGCTACGGTTTCCACAACTTTATGAATAGCGTGTACTTGGCGCGATTTTGTTCTTCATGTTTGTTACTTTATTTATTTATATCCGCAGTATAAACCTACGGTAAATGACCAATTAATTTAGAGCGGTGTTTCCTTACACCGCGTAAGTCGAAGGTGCGTTCTGGCAACGCTTGTGCCTTTTCCGTATGTATATATTTGAACATATTAGTGTTACATCAAGGAATGAACGATTTGAAAAGATCGCTTTATCAACGGAAGATTTCTAATTGCCAATCAACGTTGCAGTTCCGTCAACGAACTATGATTAATAGATACGGCACTTTTATTCAATTTTAATTATTTATTACAGTTTTATAAAATTTATAACTTCTTAACTTGTATAATGATGATATGAATGTATCGAAAATTGTCATATGAAATTGGGAAGCAGTTGGTTGGAATTCTATGCGATTTATTTTTAATAGTAGGTTTCTATTGTCTGATAATTTTTTTGTACTGCCCGGTTACGTTTTACTTAAATAAATGTTCCTTTTAAATAAAGCATTTGTATTTTAATTCGTAAATCATAATATAAAATATAAAATGATTTTCAATAATCCAATGCACGAAATTCTAAGAAATTTTTATTCATTCAGATATCAAATTACAAATGGTTATTTAAGAATTTCTTTTAAAAATATTTCCATTAATATTTTACAGAAAAAAAGACTTCATTTTAAAATACAAAATTCTTTTTCTATTCGAAATTCAAAAATTATTAGCTCAAAATATTTCGTGTTAAAAATACAATGGCATTTCAATAATAAGCTTGTAAAGACATTAAAAAAATCTTTTTACATTTTATTACTTTTAAATATTACTTAAATTTTTTCTTGAATGAAAATTAAAGAATTATTTCTTTAATTTTATTGACGTAAAAAAATAAATTCATTTTAGTTTGTAGGTTTATTAGGCGTTGTTATAATAAGGACCTACCCAAGTTCGGTAAACAAACTTTTTATCCTCTTTGTTCATTTTACAAGTATTATAAAAAATAATTTTATAGCTTTATTGATTCCGCGGGCTAGAGATATCTATACAGGAAAAGAAAAAAAATGTAAAAACTGCGGACATACATTACGATTTTACATAAGTTAGCAAAAAATAGAAAATGAATCATCATGTAAGTTAATAAAAAAATGTCACGACGCAATATGTACTCTTCCATACATCTCTTTCAGTCGTCAGATCTGAATTCACTTCCTTAGGCATATCCTCATGTTTATAACATTCCGAGAAATGAACCATTATTTTATTTAAAAGTAAAATAAAATTTAGTGTTCATTTGTTGCGGATTAGCGAAAAGATGGCGGTGCTTCCAAGAATTTTGGATTTTAAAAGCGGGCGCACACCTGTCCAAACTGTCGATTGTCGATTGTTTCGGAATAAATTCAACTGTTTACTGTTACTCCATATAAACTCATAGAAATTAAAACAAGACTAAACAGTTTTGAGATAGTTAAGTCAGAATAGTATATTTATTTTAGATAAATATAGCTAACGAGACATTTAACTATTAATAGATAGTACTTTTATAAACTATCTCTGATAAATGCCACATCCATTTTTTGTATCTCCGCCATGATGTACTCACTGCGACCCATATAGCTATGATTGCGCATTCAGTCCGCAGCAATTGTGACAGGCGTTCTATGACTTACCGCCTTTAATATAGTGACACATTACACGTGTTATCAGAAAGTACAGTCAGCATAAATATACATTTAAAAAGCTTTAGGGCCTATTCCACCAAATTGTAAATTGTCTGATAACAATCCGACTTGTCTTTTGTTGTCGAAATGTCTTTTTTTTTACCTTATATGACAGTGACGTCATTTTAAAGCTATCTGAGCCAGTCAGTGGTGGGACAGGCCCTTATAAATGTATACCTCGTTTCAATATTATCAGCACGTATCGGTTAAGCCCGATAAACGCTCAGTTTCATCTTATAGATTTATCTGACAGTTTTATCTGAACGATCCGTCTGTTCAGTTCGAGTTTAGTATGATTCCGATGTATGTTACTGAGCAATACGTGTATAAGTATTTTTAAAACAAATTTCCAATAGCCTATGTGTTCTTCCAGACTATACTCTACATAAAACATAAAGATTCGTTTAGCAGTTCAGGCTATAAATTAACAAACATCTATCTAAATTTTTATAATATTAAAGAGTGGTAGTGCCCGCTTTAACATCTTCGCACTGCAGGGCCGCCTCGCCCGGTGTAATACCACGACCACACAGGAAACAGGCGTGAAATGGAAGCAATTCCGTGTTTCGTCTGATGAGTGTGGTGCCGGAGGCCTAATTTAAGTCCCTTTTTCTTTACCACCCTTTTCTTATAAGGAGAAGATGGGAAGGGTAAGTGGATTTGACGGTGGAGGAGATGCATAGGAAGGGGAATTGTCCACTTTATGTGCGTCTCCTCCTCCGTCGTATAATGGTAGGTAAGGCATCTGCAATCGCGGATGTCTATGGGCAGCGGTCGCTCCGCCATCTTGTCGGTTTCAGGTGGCCGCTTGCTCGTTTGCCTCCTTATATTATAAAAAAAACACAGTTGAATGGGCTACGAAACAATCGACAATCGCACAACAATTGCTTTACGTGTTCGGTTAAATTCTTTACTCAGTATCTAGTTTAAAACTCAATATAAAATAATTGACTGGACGAAGCTAGGCTAAGTCGTAAGAGCCTTATTACCTGAGCTCGTGTTCCATTATACAATAAGTGCTTGAGACGAGACTATTCCAGAGATGCTATTATTTCTATCTAGGCGCACGTAACTTGAAAAGGAATATGGAATTTATTTCTCAGAATCAAACCAACCTAGTAATAAAATTCTACGAGTAATTTTAATTTATTACTTAGTTTAATTATCTATACTTAAGTTTGAGAGTAGCCCCCGTAGTAGAGAAGGTAAGGAGTAAAAGGTTAGCATGGTATGGGCATGTTATGAGGAGGGATGAATGGCATGTCATGGCATGTCATGAGGACGTTGTTTATGAGTGTGGTACACTGGTAGAGGTAGATCTAGAAAGTGATGGATTGCGTGAAAGGTGACATGATAAAAAAGGGAGTGTTGACTGAGATGACATATAATAGAGTTATCTGGAGGACAAAAACCTGTTACGCCGATCTTACCGGAGTAGGATAAGGAGGAAGATGATGATGAGATATGATTGTTAGCGTTGAATATGGTACAAAACAAATGAACGAAGTCTATACATTAAAAAACTAATAAAATTATTTTTCACAGGTTATTCAGCAGTAGAAGTCCACGGTTAGAAGGTAAACAAAACAGCATGTAGACAGCTACTATATAATCACTTATCATTTTCTTCCTTATTCTACTCTCCTAGGGTCGTTGCAACAGGGCTTTGTCATCTAAATAACTCTATCATACGTCATCTCAGTCATCACTCCCTTTTTCATGTCACCTTTCACACAATCCATCTCTTTCTAGGTCTACCTCTACCCGTGTAGTCCTCCACACTGTAATTACTTTTAAAAGACTAGCTTTCGCCTGCGATTCCGTCCGCATGGAATTAAGAAAAACAAAAGTGAGTAGCCTATGTGTTGTTCCAGACTGCCCTCTACATCTATGCCAAATTTCATCGAAATCTGTTCAGCCGTTTAGACTACAAACTAACAAACATCCATCCATCTAACCTTTTGAATTTATAATATTAGTATGATTTTAAATTTTGGTATCATGCAATACAGGGTACAGAATAAAACCGTATTTATTTAAAGTATAAGAAACTGCATTCATGTCACCGAAGCGATGTAACGGTTAAATAACAAAACACGACTTTAAGAAAAAAGTTCAATCCCGCAGGTTACCGACACGGCATAGTTAAGCGTAGAACTCTATTGTTGTGTTTAACACTAGCGGTCGCGATTTCGTCAGCACATATTCGTACAAATATTATATAATAGATCTCATCCGCGATTCCGTCCGCGTGGGATTAAAAAAACAAAAGTGAGTAGCCTATGTGTTCCAGACTATTCTCTACGTCTATGCCAAATTTCATCGAGATCTGTTTAGCCGTTTAGGCTAGAAACTCTAACAAACATCCATCCATCTAAACTTTCGCATTTATAAAAATAATATGATTTATCGACATTTACAGCTAACTTACAAAACATAACATAAACAAAAACTAATGGATAATTACAAGTTATTGTTAATTAAAATAGGTGGATGTTTGTGAGAATTTTTAGCCTTTACTGCTAAGGGGATCTCGATGAAATTTAGCATAGATGTAGAGGATAGTCTGGAAGAATAGATAGGCTAGTTGCTTTTGTTTTTTTTTTAGTTCAACGCAGACGGAGTCGGCGTACAAGTATGCTAAATGTCATCGTCATCCGTTCAGCAGTTGAGGCTACAAACTCTAACAAACATCTATCTAAACTTTCGCATTTATATTATTAAGATTTTCACAGCAGCGTAGTTCTACGTTAAGGTTATCGAACTTGCAATTTTGTCGTCTAAAATTAGGGGCATTATTTAAATCGACCTATGTCGTGTTTGTCCCCTATTAGGAAGTTTATTAAATAACTTCTGGGAACGATTTGGACCGTGTAAATGCAGGAAGTATCACAATACGTGGGGGACTTTGTTTACCAACTTAGGGCCGAGGAAATTGTTTCTATCTGTGTTATTGTTCAGTTGGCACACTTTGGTACAAGTTACTGGTATACGCCGTCGCGGAAGAAAGCAAAAGCGTTCCCGTGACCCAGCCAATGGCGAACTGAAGGACCACCGCTGGGTTTTTAGTGGGTATTCCGGCCATCTTCCATCTTTCGGCCAGCGAGCCCCACATCCCCCCCCTGGCAACGGGGGGGGATGCGTAAAGGCATTTTCCCAGCGAGAAAAAAAAAAGTTACTGGTATACAAGTTAGAGGCATGAATAACTAACTGGCATGCCAGTACCTAAAAACAAGTGAATGTTGGATTTTGTGATAGCTTCGGTTTTGCAATTTGAAGGAGGGTTAAGGGCATAAGAAGATTCACATGTCTCGCGTTTTATTGTCTTGTGAACTGGAATGCAACTAACATTCTAGTATTAGCGTAGTAGCTGTCACAAACGATGGGGACATAAAAAAAAGTGTTAAGATTGAACGTGGATGGCTACATAGGAAGAGGAAGACCGAAGTAAGTATGGATGGTTTGTGTGAAAGAGGATATGCTTAAGAAAGGAGTGGATTCAGATATGACGGCTGATAGAGATGTATGGAAGAGCATCCGTTAAGGATAAGGGCAAGTGGATGATGATGACGCCTACTCTACTTCATATCTATAAATCGCAGGCGACAGATGTTACAAAATAATCAATTTTACTAATATTATGAATGCGATAGTTTTGATGGATTGATGTTTGTTAGAGTTTGTAGCCTAAACTTCTGAACGGATTTAGATGAAATTCGGTACAGATGTAGAGCATATTCTGGATCTTATCTTTGTCACTTTTGTTTAATAACGCGGACAGAGTCGCGAGCGAAAGGTAGCTAATAAAGAACTAAAATTAGTGCTTCATACGAAACTTTTCAGTGTGTATTACAAAGGTTTAACCAACTACGAGATCAAACAAAAGTAAACAACCAAATAAAACAGTTTTGTATGAACTAAGTTGTTTTATTGAGATAGCCGTCTGAACTGTTAACTCGTATTCTCTTAATTAAATCTTTCGGGTTCGCGATGAAACTACCAAAACTTACATTATAAAGTATCTTACTAATATTATAAATACGAAAGTTTAGATGGATGTTTGTTAGAGTTTGTTGCCTTAATAACTGAACGGATCTCGACTAAATTAGTCAAAAATGTAAATCATAGAATACAACACATGGGCTACTAGTTTTTGTTTATTTAATTCCACAGAGACGGGTCGCGGGCAAAAGCTAGTATGAATTACAGCATATTATTGTTAAATTTTCAACATACGTTATATTTAAACAAATAAATTGTGGTTTAATGCAATCCACAAACGCATTCAAATACTTTCAACAAAATTGATTTTATTTAAAAATCATACTAGCTTTCGCCCGCAATTGCGTCCGCGTGGAATTAAAAATAAAGCCATTTCAGAGCTTAGGTTACAAACTCTAACAAACATCCATCCATCAATCTAAACTTTTTATTTTTTTTAGTATTATTAAAACGATTAATAAATGGCTACGTTTATTGAACGTTCAGTTTTGGTTCCTTGATAGATTGTCTATTCCTTATTTAAGCCCTTTTGCGTCCGGCGCGTCTCAATCAACGGTTACAATAGTGATTGTCTATGGCATAATACATCTTCATCCGTATTGATCATAGTTGCCATTGTTTCACGTTCCTACAGTTTATGGAGAATTAAATTAAATCAAGTAATCTGTATGATTATTAATAGGATACTAGCTTTCGCTAGCGACTTCATTCGCGTGGAATTAAAAAAAAAAACAAATGTGAGTGGCCTATGTGTTCAGACTATTCTCTACAACCATACTAAATTTCATAGAAATCCGTTCAGCAGTTTAGGCTACAAACTCTAACAAACATCCATCCATCTAAACGCATTTATAATATTAGTATGATTTATTTATTATCCAAATTGAATCCTCCATTTTGTTTTAAAATAATTAAGGTTTGGTTCATTAATGGCGGAATTCTGAAACGAATCCTAAACATGCTTCTAATGTGCTGTTTATAATTTGACAACATTTTAATGGAATTAACTATAAGCATGCCCCTTTTTTAAGATGCTTTAACGAAGTCTTTTCAGTATTTCGCAGTAGGTTTTTATTAAATAAAGTAATAAATTTACTTTTACTTCTTACATTTTTGTACAATTATAAGGTTTATCTTTCCAATGTTTGGATACTTTTTTATCTATGTTGTATAAACTATATTATAAAGTATCGAGAAATATGCAATAAAGAATGAGGGTAAAATAAAATATCGCTCGGCTCGTGCGGTGACGATAGGATGGCATTATTTCAAATAAGATTCCCACGCAACTATCTCCGTAGAGTGCCGTAGAGTTTCCGGCCACTGGTCGCGGCAAATGAGGTCAGACGGCATTTCTCTTACAGAGGGTACATTAAACCGTTTTCCACTAGCGCAAAAGCTGCACACTATCATAAGAAATATGATTCATTTGCATTGCCAACTATCGTGCATTAGTGCGGCCAAAGTTCTGCGGGTACTTGCTTAGTGGAAAAAAGGGTTATAAATGTATAACGGCCTAGAAAAAGCGTTTGCTTTGACTTCGTCGAGTGGATTTTTTAAATTCTGAAACAAGTGCTTTCCGACATTTCTGTTTTTAAAATAATTTTATGCATCAAAGTTTTTTTGTTCGTGCTTTGTTAATGCGAGTGTTTGTTGAACAGCCCTTTGAGTCAACGTTATTGCTTAATTAAACATTTGGGTTACATTACAACTTTTAAAACTTCGTTGATTGATACTAGAGTGCTTAGTTACTGGAGTTTCCTTCTCATCTAAAAAAATGATACATTAGACTTTTGTAAGCTTATTTTTTTTTATAATATAAGGTGGCAAACGAGCAAGCGGCCTGAATCCACCGAAATGGAAAGTGACCGCTGCCCATAAACATCCGCAATTGCAGATGCGTTGCCTACCCTTAATTGACGGAGGAGGAGACGCACATAAAGAGGACATTTTACCTTCCTATACGTCTCCTTCACCATCAAATCCACTTTTCCTTCCCATCCTCTCCACTTAAGAAAAGGGTGGAAAGGGAAAGGGATTAAAATTAGGCCTCCGGCACCACACTCATCAGACGAAACGCGGAATTGCTTCCACTTCACGCCTGTCTTCTGTGTGGTCGTGGTATTACTGGGGGCGTGTCGGCCCATTCGTGCTAAGATATTAAAGCGGGCACTACCACTGTTATAATGTAATGCTAACGAATAGATATTCTCTTAAACTAAAAGATCTTAGCAATGATGTATTCTCAACTAAAAGCGCGCACATCATTGACTAAGCTATCGCACAACTTTTTAATCTCGCGTTCATTTCTATGAGTTTATATGGAAGTGAGTATTCTCAATTTTTAGTTGTGCAACTAAACTGAATTGTCTGCGAAACAATCGACAATCGTACAACAGTTGTGCGATAGTTTAGTCAAAGATTCTCGCCCGCTCTAGATGTTGTAATCTACCGGTAAAGATTTGCCAGATTAATTGGCACTCTTGGCACAAACAGTAGCTATTGCGGTGCCAGATACCGCACGTTGAATGCCCCATGTCACTTCTAGATGTTTCCGGTCTCAAAATAATAGTAT